GGTACCGGTACCGGGCCGGGCCGGGCCGGTACCGGGTCACGGGTCGGGCCACGGGCCGGGCCGCCCGTGGCCATGTCTACTTCTACCATATTGAGATCGCATACAATTAAAGATAGAGAGATTATTATTATTATTATTATTATTATTATTATTATTATTATTATTATTATTATTATTATTATTTATTGTAATTGGCGGGTAGCTTAGCTTGTCCAAGTTGGTGACCGGCCCACCCCCACCTAATGTTCCTCTCCATTTCAACCTTTAATTAATAATCCAATTTTCTTTGTAATTTAATTTCAATATTAGAACTACGTACGAGTTTTCGATTTTGCAATCAAATTACGCAATTAACAGAGAGTCATGGTGAGTTTTGCCTCGTGTGTTTTGATTTGCAAAATCCCAAAAAACTCATACATTTTATTTATTTTTGATAATAATTAAAATTTAAAGGTAAAAAAAGATTATTAAATTACATACAAAGCACTCTTGTTTCTTTAATAATAATGTGTCCAGTCCACGGACAAGAATAGAATCGACTTTGCGTCTTCAACCGAACTAGTTTAACTTTCCGGTGTCAAATAAATTATGTAATGGGCTCCTTACTATACCTACAGTTGATAATAAATAAATAAATTAGTTTTAATTGAAGGAGATGGCATGTGAAAAGCAGCTTTAGCCTTTTCAAGTGCAGAAATAAAGTTGATGATATATAATAGAAGAGGAAAGGCAATACATACAGTTGCTGCTTTTTGCCAAATCCAACAATAATTTGCATGTGATTCCAAAATCCCTTTACATTCATCACACTTTCTTCGTAGTTCATTCTTCCCTTTCACTAAAAAAACACCCGCATGTGATTTAGCCCCAACCAACAGATTTCGTTACAATACATAAGAAATTATTTTCAACACATTTAATATATGTAAATATATATTATCATATCAACAGTACTTGAATATATATACTAACTCGTGGTGTCAATCAACGAACCCAGCATAGGCGAATGACATTATTAACAATATATAAAAGAAAAACAACATATATATATAATAGACGTAAAACAAAGTGGCTATTAAAAGGGTAGGTACATATAAAGACCATTAAAAAGTAGGAGGATATATATGGCGTAGCCCCACACCACATTATAGATATATGTATCCATATGTACAAAAAGATGATAATCAGCCCCACCATTTGGGTTGGCCCGGCCAGGAAGGTGGCACACAATTCTCAGCGGTGGGCACAACTCTAATCAACACCTTAATAATATCAAACATTTGGCCCCAAAATCAGCGCCAATAAGTCCTCGATGCTACAACTAAGTTAAATCCCATTCTAAGGGGAAAAAAAAAAAAAAACTGCTAAACCATTAGAATAACAACGAGACAGTAGTCATAATATGCTACAAAAATTCATCGAGTCCTGATTATAATAGTCGATAAGAGGATTGCGCCTAGATTCGTCATAGTATGTGTTGGTAGAATATACGTTATTCCCCATCATCACTGGGGGGTACCCATCGGGTGTCTCATGCCACATGCCTTCGGGCAACAATCTTCTATTTCCATAGGGTTGGGCTGTTCCGTAATCGTACATAATGCGGCCATCACTACTATAGTTACGATTGTAATCACGATAGTCTCTTTGCATCTTCGGGTGGCTCAGGTTTGCCCACACGAGTTCTGCGTGCATTCCACATCTTGCTAAAGCTTTCATGCAGTAATTTGGATTCACCTGCCCCATGATCTTTACTGTTTTACTTTCGGCATCCATTGTCACATCGTACACCCCTTCAACAACGAGAATTCAAAATCTGTTTGAGTAATTAAATAAAAAAAACAAAACAGTAAAAAAAAATGTGCTTAATTGGTCATTTGTAATTGTACCTTCAATGCATCTTAGTATTTCGAACATGTGGCCCTTGCACGCACCACATTGGGCGTCGACTTTCAAAACACAACACTGCATCAAAATCAAAATTATCACACATGAAATCACATTTATCAAACAAGACTTTCAAAATTTTCAAAGTAAAAAAAAAAAGGGGGAATTTTCAATACCAAATTCGCAGGACTATAATCCATCAAAATATTCCTGGTAATTGCACACAAGTATAGATTTTAATTCAAAAAATATATATATGCTTGATATCGGAATATATATATATATATATATGAACAATCTCGTAAATCATAATAAATCACAAGTGTTGATCAGTTACCTTATGATAAAATGGTAAAGAGATGAAGGCCTCTGGACAAATTAACAATAGTATACTAGAACAACAGGCAATCAAGTTATATATATGCTCTTACAAGATGCAGCAGCATATATATTATTTAGGAGAGAAAAGCCTAGAGGCCCTGGGTGCTTAATTACTTGCTATAGAAATAGAACCGGTTAGGCTTCGTGCAGGAACTGGAGGATCTCTTTTCACAGTAAAAACCTAAACCAAAAGTACAGAAATTTCAATAAAATTTTCTTACGTGCAAATGAGGATAAAATAAATAGTTTGCATTCTTCGTTTAATTACCTCAATATATTTAGGTAGGTTAATTTATCCAATTCAAAATGGGACGAGATTCTCTATGTGCCAAATAATTTATTAGTAGTAGTTGGTAGTAATATATTTGTGTAAGTTATTTTATCCCAATTCAAAATGGAACGAGATTCTATGTTCCAAAAAATGATGATGTACGATTGTCCAAAGCAAGAATAATACGCCAAATATTATATTATATATGGTGATTATAATTTAAAGCAAAACAAAGATCTCGGTCGATGTTTATTATTTATGGTTATATATATATATATATATCCGGGTTTTGATATTTTCCACTATAATTAAACCGGATAAGTTTCATAAATCTAGATATGGAGTCCAAATATTTGATTTGATTGAGAAAAAAAATATGGATTAGCAAATTTCAAATCCGAAAGTGCCGTATTAATTAGAGGAAGTGCTTTTTAAGTAGTATTAAATTAAATTAGAGAAGGAATATATATCTCAAATTTTGGTAATTAGTAGTATTAAATATTAATCAGAGTATATCTCAAATCTATGAATTTAGATTTGTGCCATCCCTAAAACGAGCAAACTCCATTTGAAAGATACTAAATTGTACTACGTATAATACGAACAACCAAAAAAAAA